GGGCATCTTGGGCCGTCTCGGAGCATCTGAAAGCCGAAAGGCGAGAACGCCCACATTTTTGAACAAAAAAAAAAAAAAGTAATGCTTGCCTGTTGGAAGATCTCTTGGAGGCCTCTTGTGGCGTCTTGGAGGCCTCTTGGGCAAGCTTGAGGCCATCTTGGGCGTCTTGGAGCAATCGTTCGGCGACTCGGGGCCCTCTTGGACTGATGGGAGGAGTCGGGGGGTCGCGTAAGTAGGTGCACTGCAAGCGCAGGAAACATTTCAGAACTCACGAGGGCCAGCCCGGAAAACCCCAGGAAGGCCTGGGACACGATTGGTCCGGGCCCTTAAAGATTTTCATTTCTCGCTGAAGCAGCAGCAGCACAGCGTCTACCTCTCAGTGTTGAATGAGCCTTGGGGCACTCCACTTCGTGCCAGAGGCACGGTGGCGGATTACAAAAATGCTCCAAATGTGGAGGACCTGCACCATCAAAATAACGTGGGTCATTGGTTGTTCCAGCGTTGTTCCAGCGTTGGCCTAAGGGGTTCCTACTTTGTTAAAGGCTGGCGCCTCCGAATGTTACTTTGCCCGTTCCTCGGAGGTTCCTCGGGTTCCTTGTGTTCCTCGGGTTCCCCGCCCCCGGTGCCTCCTGTTGTTACGTTGCCCGTTTCCCGGAGGTTCCTCGGGTTCTCCAGGTTCCTCGGGTTCCTTGGGTTTCCTGCCCCCGCTGCCTCGTATTCTTATAGTGCCCGTTCCAAACAATGCCAAGCATTGCGCCCATGCAATAGGAAATTTTCCCCTGATTGGGGTCGCGCCGGGCTCATTTTCCATGTGAACAGTTTCGCGTGATCTAACGTTTTTGTCCTGCTTCTTGGTAAGTGACTGCGGCCCCACGGCGATTTCTGCGGCGGTTCCGTGGGGTCGCGGAAGTTGACCAGGACAGCATGGAGAAAAAACATGACACACAACAAGCAGCATGTGCCTTCACAGGTGAATGAAGAAAAAATGATACTGGAGGAAAACCCCAATCCGAATTGTTGTAGGGATATAGGGCTACTGGGCTATAGGGCTGGGCTATAGGGCTATAAGGCTATAGGGCTATATGGACTATTGGGCTATTGGGCTATAAAGCTATAGGGCTATAAGGCTAAAGGGCTATAGGGCTATAGGGCTATAGGGCTATAGGGCTGTAGGGTTATAGGGCTGTAGGGCTATTGGGCTATTGGGCTATAGGGCTATAGGGCTATATGGCTATAGGGCTACAGGGCTATATGGCTATAGGGCTACAAGGCTATAGGGCTATATGGCTACAGGGCTGTAGGGGCACCTCCGGGCACCCCTTGGCACCCGGGCACCCGGGCATTCCCTGGCATCCGGGCACCCGGGCACCCGGGCACCCAGGCTGGCCACCGAAATCGGCGGCCCACCTCACCTAACCATATGAATCCGCTAGGACCCCTACAGAGGCAAGCTCTGATTGGGGAACTAGGCACACCTGTGACTGTCTCTATTTTTATTGGTTGCCGATCTTCGATAATTATACCCCTCTTTTTAATATCGAAACAAAAATCCTTTTGCAAAGGCTGCTACGAAGCGATTGCACTTGTGGCGGCCACTGCAGGCGCCCCACACTTACAATCCTTTCGGAAGGTCCCCACAGGAATCCTCTTGTAAGGGCCACTACCGGAAGGTCCCCACAGGATTTCAGGTGTGGGGGATCTGCACCATCAAAAACGAGAGTATTAGTTTTCTGTGAGACACATGTTGATTCTTGTTGTTGCTGTTTTGTTGCGTTTTCATGGTAAGCTTCTGCGACCCCACGGGGATCTCGGTGTTGGCTCCGTGAGGCCGCGGAAGCTGACCAGGAAAACCAGAACACACAAGCAATTAAGAACATACTTCCACATAGGATGTTGAGAAAAGGCGGTGACAATGTGTGCCTGCCGCTATCCTCATTCGTTGCTGATCCCCAAAAAACAAAATGCGCGCAAGATCGCCACAACATGGATCCTGTTGCAAGGGCTGTTATACATTGATTTCAAGTGTGCCGGATCTGAATCATAAGAGTAGCGAGGCTCACATGTGTTTCTCATTGTTTTCTTATTGTCCCCGGAGAAGCACATGTGTGTTCGTTGTTTCTCTTGTTGGTCTTGTTTTCTTGGTAAGCTTCTGCAGCCCAATGGCGATCTCAGTGGCGGCTCACCAGGAAAATTGGAAAAGATCAGCAAAAAGCATGTGTCTTCACATGGGGATTTGAGAGAAAGTTCGGAAAATATTCGATTTTCGCTATTCTTATGTGTTGCACATCCTCCGCACTTCCAATTATTTTCGTGAGATCGCCAGAAGAGAAATCCTCTTGTAAAGGCTGCTAAAAAAAAGGACTGTCATTGTGGTGGCCACTGCAGATGCCCCACCAGTACCATCGTTCGTGAAGCTCGCCACAAAAGGAATCCGCTGTTCAGGGCTACTACAACATGATGTCACGTGTCGGGAATCTGCAACCATATTCCAGCGAGAGATACAGGTTGTCGTAGCGTGTTCTTATTGCGTCCGTGAGAAAAGACATGCTGTTTCTTGTGTGTCATGCTGTTATTGTTTTCCTTGTAAGCTTCCATTGCCTTGCGGCGCTGCTTTTGGAAATTCCTTATATTCAAAGTCGTTGTGTAAATTGAATACACATGTGTGCCATACGCTGCGACTTACAAGTTGGATTTGAGTTGTGATTTTCCATGTTCATTTCCATCGTGGAAGGGTATCAGTGGCGGCACTGTGGAAGTTTTAGAACTGATCATTGTATCCACCTGCCTCTACAGGAAGTAAAGCTTAAGTTTCTTCAGCTTTACATAATTCGTGAACATATGCAACAAACGCCACATGTAGATAAACACCAACAAGAATGTTCTGATCGCACGCACCCGTGGTCCTACTTGCCTTTCCCTCCCATTGGTTCAGACGTGTCCAGTGATTCTTCGAAATCAAGCGTCCACGAAACGCGTTCTCCCCGACCTTGCAAGGAGACAACGGAGTGCGGCTTGCAAGCGGGATCCCCTCAGAAGGTGACAGGAAGGGGTCAACACGGCATAGGGTTTTTTTGAGGTGTTGCCAACGGGGACTTCGCCTCATTGCAGGAAGCACACCCATGACAGACGAGCGCACCATGGGCCTGCCATAGACGCCCATCTTGAAAATAAGTTGTCCTGAAGAACGCGACGAGGTGGCACCAAGCAGCTCAAGGAAGTGTCCACCGAGAGCCCGGCTTTGAGAAAGAGAGCTGTCCACCGTCCATAGAGCCAGTGCGCAGGTTTTTATTTCCGGCGATCACGTTCGATGAAGCACCTATACGTCGAATGGTTTTCGGTTCATCCCGCCACTGGGCTTGGGTTGTGAGTCATGGGCCTCTGATATGTTCGCTGGGATATCGCTGGAGGCTTCTCAGTGGGGCTATTGGAGGCCATGGTGAGGCATATTGGAGGTTGGTTTGGGGCCTCTCGGGACGTCTTCGGGACCTCTCGGGAATCTCTTGGGGCATCTTGGAGGCCTCTTGAGCCTCCCTGGGGCTTCTTGGGGCGGAAGACTCGGATTTTCGGTTCGTGTTCCCCCTCATGGGCCCTCCTTGGGGCTGTCTTTGGGCCCTCTTGGGCCGTCTTTGGCGCCTCTGGGGCCGTCTTGAAGTCCTCTTGGGCCGTCTTGGAGCGTCGGGAGCTCGAAAAGTCGAGGAACCCAACATCATTGAAACCCCGAAAATATCATTAATGTTGGCCTCTCGGGGCCCCCTTGGGAAGGCTCTTGGGGCGTCTCGGAGGCCTCTTGGGCCATCTTGGGACAATCTTGGGCGTCTTGGTGCGATCTTTGGGCGACTCGGGGCCCTCTTGGACCTTCTTGGGGGCCTCTTGGGGCTATTTTGGCCCGTCTTGGGGCATTCTTGGGCCCAAGAAAGTCACGCGACACGCCTCCGGGAACCCCAAGGGGCACGCTCCAAGCCCAGGAGATTTGGCAATTTGGGGTCCGGGCCCTTCAAAAACGCCTCAGGAGCGAGACAGGCTTAAGGGGTCAGGCAATGAACATAAGAACACGCCCATTCCGTGCCCAGTGGCACGGTAGCGGGTGTACATGTATGTGTATATATATATATATGCACACATACATACATACATGCATGCATGCATGCATGCATGCATGCACATATATATATATATATATATGTAAGCATAGACATACGTGTGTATGTATGTATGTATGTATATAATGGTATGTGTTGAATGGAATGGAACGCGGTATAATGAAATGGAATGTATTGTATGCATGTGTGTCGATATGTCTGCAAGTGTGTCTGTAAATATGTATGTATGTATGTACGTCTGTATGATTGTATGTTTGTATGATATGTATATACGCATGTTTGTTTGCATGGTTGTATGTCTGTATGTATATCTCTATGTATGTCTATATGTAAATATCACTGTATGTTTGTATTTTCGTATGTCTATATGTCTGCGTGTATACATGCGTGTATGCATCATGCACCCGTTACTTCTTCCTCTCCTCACGCTCGTCTCTCCCCCCTTCTCTCCTCTTCACATCCTCTGCTGCCTACCCCTGTTCTTCCAGGGACTCTCTCTGCAGCAAGGATCAGTACACGGCGACGCTGCCACCTCGTTTTTGCCCAGGCCGCATCCCGACGCGGGACACTCAGAAGGCGCCGCAGGGCGCGCCGCACCGTGGGCACTTCGAGCCACGATGGCTCCAGACAGCTCGCAGTGCAACCACTGATGAGCAGACGGAGAACATCTTCCCTTGTCCAAAGACCCAAAGACTCAGTTGCCAAGCCGTTGCACTGCCCGGGAAACCGTTTTCTGGCCTCCGGGCGAAATACGTAGCACCCCACAGTTGCGGAGAAGAGGGAGGGGGCGGCGGGGACGCCAGCCACGCTACCGTGCCGCTGGCCCGCATGGCATGTGAGAGACGCACTGCAAACTCGAAGCCCGCCTTGCCGCCCTGTCAGATCGGCCATTGTCACATTAACACACTGCGCTACATCACCACAGGGGCGACTCAACTTCCTTAGCGGCCGGCGGGTTGACGATCGCGGCGCACCCGAAAGTTCATCGGTTGAGGCACGAAGACAAGGACGAGCCACCTTCATTAATCAGCCGTCGGCAACATGTGAGCCAAGAATGAGAGGGAGTATTCCAGGAACGTTCACAGAGGACGTGTGTAGAACTCTGTGCATGCTCGCCAACGGGCAGATGATGAGCGTGGATGCCACCAGCCCTGCCGTTTATGATCCTCCTGGCAAGTATGTACGTATGTCGCAACTTCCTCCAGTCTGAATCGGACCATCCCTTCGCGCTGCTCTTGCCATCCCCGAATATTCATGAGCAGTTTGGTCGGCGCCTTGCGGGACACTCCCAAAAAGCAGGGGTGCGGCACGCTACTCTACGTGTGCTAGGGCGCACCAGCGTTCTTGCCACCTCGACCACAGTTCCATGCAGGTTTCTGAGTAAAGCAGGAGTTGTTAAGTGTTGTTCAAAAAGGCGCCGCGACGAGCTGTAAATACCCATGGTCAGCTGAACATCCAGTCATAAAGAAGGTATGCGAGGCAGTCGAACGACATCACACGATCACGCTGGGAAACACCAGCATCAAGGAAAACGCCCCCGCCGAGCGCTCCCAGACCGCCCCAAGGTCCTCTACTAGCCTCGAGTCCTCCTCGTGTTCTTCGTTGTTTTTCCCTCCCCCCCCCTTTCGAGGACGAGGGCACGGTGTTCCTTCCTCGTGTTTTCGTTTTTACCTTCCCTCCCCGCCCTGTTCGAGGCCGAGGGCTCGGCGCCGCTGCTGTGGGTGCCAGCGTCGGAGCCAGACCCTGCGCGGCACGTGGTGCGCCGCGGGGAGGGGCGGCGGAGGTACTCTTCATCCCTATCATCCTGCGTCTTCTCCCTCCCCCTGCTCCTGCCTTCTCCCTCCTCCTCCTGCCTCCTCCTGTTCCTCCCTCCTCAGTAGAGCGCGGACGCCTTCGTGCCAGCAAGGTTCGGAGGACCTGTTTGACGAAGAGCAAGATTCATCCATCACATTCTCGGTTGTCATGGGAAAGAGGGATTCTTCGGGCGCGGGCAGGGACAGAGTCAGGATTCGTCACCGATCCCTTCCTCGGACCCGTGACCGTGGTCAAAGTTCACCGGCTGCGGCAAGTGCGAGAACAACCCGGTTTTCGAATCGAGAGACCGCAAGTGTTGCCAGTGCGGCCGCCAGGTCAAGTTGTATTTGCACAAGGCCAAAGCGCACGAGAACCAGCTGCAGTCCCAGCCCACCATCATTCCGAACAGCTCAGGTACTTCTTTATCTATGGGATACGATTCGTTGGTCCTCCTTCAGCAGACGCTGAGAGTGACCTCGGATCCGCTCCTGGCGAGACTGCTGGGCGAACAGGTCCGCAAGCGCCAAGAGGCCACCATGCCCACCCTGACACTTGAGGACGCAGCCAAGGCGGCCTCGCGAACATGGAAGGCTTCCTCCACCAAACATATCACGCGGTGGGGCCGGTCTTGAAGGTTTGGAGACTTCGGGCAAGGCTGAGGCCAAAGAGCAAGACGCTGCCCTGACGCGAGCGAAAGCCGATGGGAAAAAGCGCCAGGCAGTTCGCACCCTGGCTATGAAGAATGAAGATGAACGTTGTTCGCAACAGGAGGAAACGCCCAGTTTCAAGCTGGAGATCGACGAGCAGTGATTCGCCGACTCCGGCGTCCTGGACTGCGAGAAGCACGAAAGAAAGGTCTTCACTGGGCTGCAGCCGCAGCTCGAGGAGGCGCGCACCAACTCCGCCAGCCACGCGGGGGCGAGCGAAGCCGGCAGGCCAGTGGCAGGTGGAGGCAGCTGCAGCAGCCGCAGCGACGGCAACGGAGGCCGTGCCGCGGCAGCAGCCACAGCCGCAGCCGAGGTGGAGCTCGCGGCCCAAAGGCACGCCGACGCCGCCAAGCGCACCCCAGACGCACAGTCCGAGGCCGCCAATGCGGCCAAGGAGGCCGCAGCCCGTGCTGCAGCAGCAGGGCGGCCCACACCTCCGCGATCATCGTTGTAGGAGGCGGCCTCTTCGCCCAGCCCGAGTCTCGTGACCAGCGTTTCAGGAGGTCCCTCGGCTCAGCCGACATCGTCGCCAAGGGGATCAAAGCACGACAATGGCATATGCTGTTTTTTCCTTCGCCAACATTACGCGCGCTGGGAAACAGGCGCGCGCGGGAGCGCATTGTCAGAGATGAGCAGCACGATCGGTTCAAAGTCGCCGACAGCGTCGAATCCCACGTCGCCGCCGAGGGGCATCGCTCCACGCGCGCCCCCGCCGCGGACGGGGAAACCCTGCGCGCCGAAGGGCGCCGAGCGTTGGACGGCTCCCACGCCTCGGTCATCGACGCGCGGGGCAACCCTTTCGCGGCGATCCCCCTGTGGGGCTTCTCGGGAGAAGGCCGGTCTGGACGCGACCTCCATAGGTACGCCAAACCCGGAGTGCTGCTCCACAGCTACCGCGGGTCGCCCCCGCCCATTAGAATCTGCTTTCGGAGGAGCTCGAGGCACCCGGATTCGTCGGCAAAGCTGGCAGCGGTCTTGGACGCGCGCCCACCCAGCACGTCCACAACATGCACTGACAACGCCAAGTCTGATGGATCTGAACGCGACTACACACTTGCCGGCTTCAGCACCCCATGCGTCGGTAGTCCCACTGCCATCGTTGGTGCGCATTGGACAACACAGCGTGGTTCGTTGGTGAAGTTCCGCGGGTCGGGATCGCAGCATTTCGCCCGCGGTTTGGATCTCCCCGCCGAGCTGCCGCAAGTCACCCGCCCGCCACCCCCCCCCGCCCCCGGCTCAGCGTCGTCGGCAGCGCGGCGGGAGAGGCTTGCGCAGCTGGGCACTGCTCGAAAAAACTTGCGGGCCCAGCACGCCCCCTTCCGGGGGCGCCTCCGCGGCTACCTCGTCGCCCGAGGACGCGAGCTCGAAAGACCGGGGCCTCGTCGCCACTGACGACGAGCCGAGCACCAAGTCCAGAACGAGATCGATGACCTTTCTCCCGAGGAGGAGAGCCGCCCGGCTAGCGAGGGGAACCTCGGGTCCCACGGCGGGCGCCCGGGCTCCGCGGAGGCGCCCAGTCCGGGAAGCTCCCTCGTCGCCCAGGACCTCGCCAGCTTAGCCCCCCCCCAGGCAATTCCATGGCTCGCGGGCGGCCACCAAGACGCAACAAGAAAGCCGATAGCACTTGATATTAATTCGGACCCTTCGGCGCCTCCGAGAACCCTTGCTGCCGCCGGCGCGGCCCACTCTGCCCTTCTTCTTATTTTAAGATATTCCGCCAACATCTCTTCTCGAGCTTCGCGCCCAGGTTGGTTCGGCCCCCGCCCCTTGCGACTGGCCAGTCGCTCGAGATTCGCCGGCCCTCAAGATGGGCCAAAGGCGCGCGGGCGCTGTCAGCGGGCGTCGGGGGGCGCGGACCACCGCGCCAGACGGCGGGGCGACTTGCCACCGCGGCATGGAGAGGCCGGGCAGGAGCTCAAGGAGGGCCCCCGGCCCACGTTTCATCACCAACGAAGTCCACGTGGCTGAGAGGAGTCGAACCCATCCTATACGCGACCAGGCACGTTCGAGGTGAAATCGAGCCCTGACCATCCTCAGCCGAGCATCTCAGCATCGCGAGCGGGCCAATGGCGGGCACCAGCACGCCAGCGCGCAGCAGGCGACAGCGCGTCTGGCCACGGACAACCCGACGTCAGCACGCCCCCTACTCAGCGGACCATGGCAGCGGGAGGGATGGCCACGACGCTTTCGAGGCCCGACGCAGCCCGACGTGGACGACCTCGGGATGACGATGACGATTGTCTTGGACGGCCGCAGAAGCAGCTACGCCAGCGCCCCGTCGGCCCATGAAAGGGCAACCGCAGCCAGCCAAGGAGCTAGCCCTGCAGGGCGAGACCCTCGCCCACCTGAAAGACACCCAGGACCGCAAAGTCGAGAGGCGGCACCGCTTCTGGAGTAACCACGCGCTGGAGGGCGCCGCCTCTTCCAGGAGATGGCACGAGAAGCAGCGCGCAGCATGCGCCCCTGGCGGGAGTCGACCACATTTCTTCTTCAGACATCGGAAGGCATCTACCCGAACCTGGCAGAGATTCTCAGAGCCATCGAACCCCGTCTAACTTAGCCATGGCAGTTGACGACGACGACAGGCAGAATGTTGGCAGGGAATCGGGCTGGATCCGCCCAGTTTGATTCTTCGGCACGGCACTTCGCACCCGTTCTTCAGCTCGCGAGCCTTGGCCACAGCAGCGGGCCAAGGAGAGCGAGCCCCACAGGGAGCAGCCATTGCGGGCAACTCAGCATTGCGAGGAGACTTCCTCCGAGTGCTGAGGGGGGCGGTCCATTTGCTCAACAAGCATGTCTGCTGAGCCGCGCGCTGCTGGACTTTCAAAGCTTCCCTGATCCAATGTGCCCCATCAAACTAGCAGCGGCAGCATTGCCATGATGTTTTCCACCCACCGTGCTTTTCCTGGAACTGCAGCCGCGCCGGCGGTCGCGGACTCTGATCCAGCGCGAGCTTCGCCGGGGCTTTCCAAGCGAGGCACAGCGCGATTCAAGGATCACGCGGCGGGCAAGGTTCGCCCGCTGGACGACGCAGATCGCGCTCTACTCCATCACCCGCGGGAACCCGAGAGTCGAAGCAAGATTGCGGGTTGATGATGCGTCAGACTACACAGCGGATACCCACAGTTCCGCACATGAGACACCGTTCACCCCAGCACGCTCAAGAAGACAGACGCGCTGTTCTGGCAGGACCAGCTGCAGGCTGCCTCGAAGAGAGCGACTTTCCGATCCTATCGTCGCGGCGCCCGTGAGATTTCACAGCGGCCACGACGACGATGCATCGCTGTTGCGACGCATCATTCCGACGAGACACCTCGGAGCGGGCAGCGGGGCTGAGCGCCCGCGCGAGACGCCGCGAGGAAATGAGTGTCTGGCGGTTTGCCCAGGCTGCCAAACGCCACTCCACGGCCTTGCGCTTGGAGAAAGCGGGCAAGCAGCCAGCTAGACAGTACGGATGCCAGATATATATATATATATATATATATATATGGAGTTCTTGGAAGCGCGATGCTGAGCTCGAGGCGCCAGCCCCCCCACGCGTCGAGCTCTGCTCGGCGCGGACGGCGCCGCGCCACAGTGCTCAACTCGCGATGCCCCGAAGCTGGCCCCAGGGTCCGTCTACCAGTAGAATGCCCACGGACGCGGCCCACCTCGTGGATTAGCAGACCGGCGCTACACGCAGGACTTCTAGCAGTCTGGGATCGCATAGCGAAGAAGATGACCGCCTTATTTACCATCGAACCAGCGCAGTCGCCATGCGCGCAGACCACTGATTGCAGTCACCACCCACCTCACGCAATACGACGGAGACCCAGTGCGACCCACAGACCGGGGCATATTGCCCCGCGGCCAGCCTGGCCGCGAGGCTTTCATCTTCAACGAGCTGTCCATGAGCGGCCCCATCAGCCCATTCCTAGACGAGTTCGAGAGCACCGTGCGATCACATCAACGGTCCAAAGTTCGAAAGACTCGAGGGCAATATTGCACTCAGGAAGTCCGCAGCAGCCACAGAGAGGGCAGGGCACGGTCATAAGTTCTCAGGGTTGTCGGTATTGTTGTGCATTGCCGTCGGAGGCACCTGGCCTCGATAGCGCATCTTGGACGAAGTCGGGGGAGAGATGGATTCCCCGCGCCCTCGGCGTCGCGCAGCACCGGGGACCGCGTGTCACCGCGCATGGAATTGCAGCTGCAACGCCGGTTCAGATGCATGCAAAGTCCGACGAGACGCCCCCACAAGCGATGAGTCCAAATGAGCAGCTGCTTGTTTTTAGGCGCGCGGCACGTCGCCAGCGAGGTGGGCGCTAAGGCGAGCCACCAGTTTCAGACGACCAGCGGTTTGGCAATAGTGCTGGAACCCCCGATCCGATGACTCTCGGAGTTGGCCCACAGTCGCGCCCGCTTTGTTTTCGGGGGCGCCAGTGAAGGCGAGGATTCGCGCAACGAGCGCCTCGGGAGGGCAGGCAAAGGTCTCGCTGTCGCGGCGCCCTTCGGTCCCAAGCTGCCGTTGCCACCGCGCTTCGAAGACCAATTTCAGGCCCTCAGCAGAACGCGCCTCGGGGGGCGCTTGCTACTGTGCTAGATGCCCTCTCTTTCAGCACGGGTTTATCAGCCCACGTCACGTATGATCCGGCTGCTTTCGACGATGCGACCCTAGCTGGGGCGAGCGGCGATTTGTGGAGCGCTTCTGCTAAGCCCCAGTCAGTTCGTGATTTGTCGCAGGCTGTCGCTTCGAAACTTCGGTCACATGCGTCTGGAGCCGGCCTCGAGTCTGCCACCACCCCGTTTTGGATGGTTTTCAGAAATGAGGCGGCCGACGAGGTTGTCGGCCCTGCCACCGAAGATCACCGAGTTTGTGAAGCGTCCATAGCTAGGGTGTTTCAAGCGGAACGCAAGGCTCGGCTCGCGAGAAGTGAGAATGAGGCTGCTTAGGGCGAAGATTGTGGCCATCGCTGCTGAAGAGAGGAGAAAGGTTGCGCGCCCGGCCCTGCCTCCGACCCATCCGCTGCCTTTCTCACTTTCCTTGGGTCCAAAAACGCCCCCTCAGAGGATGGTAGGCAGCGTCTCACGCGCGGTGGATATGTTCGAAGGTGCCGCCCGTTGACTGGAGAAACAGCGAGTGCATACCTTATGAGGCTCAGACTATTTTTTCTTCCCTGAGGCTGCCGAGGGTTCGGCCCATCCGCATAGGTTGTGGGTGCACGCAGGTTATCACGATATGTCAGAGCGAGGGGGCTGAACCGAACGGTTATTCACTGTCCCCCCGGTTCGTGGCTGAAGTGGAATTCCGCGATGCGGATTATTGTTGTTGTTTGTTTGTTGTTTGTTGTTTCTTGTTTGTTCTTTGTTGTTTGATGTCGTCGTCCCACCCGCGACCCGCCCCGCGACCCACCCGCGACCCACCCCGCGACCCACCCGCGACCCACCCCGCGACCCACCCACGACCCGCCCCGCGACCCACCCGCGACCCGCCCGCGACCCACCCCGAGACCCACCCGGCGACCCACCCGCAACCCACCCGCCACCCACCTCGCGACCCGCCCGCGACCCACCCCAAGACCCCCCCGGCGACCCACCCGCGACCCACCGGCGACCCACCCGCGACCCACCCGCGACCCACCCGCGACCCACCCCGCCCACCCGCGACCCACCCGCGACCCGCGACCCACCGCGACCCACCCGCGACCCACCCGCGACCCACCCGCGACCCCACCACAAATTTTCGGCGCTTGCGGCGGGTTTTTTTGCATTCGTTCGAGGTGGAGAACCTGCGCGACCCACCGCGACCCACCCGCGACCCACCCCGCGACCCACCCAAAATTTTCGGCGCTTGCGGCGGGTTTCTTTCGCATTCGTTCCAGGTGGAGAACCTGCGACCCACCCGCGACCCAAACCGCGTTCA